TGAGGCCTCTAGAGAAAGTCGTCACGGCTGGACGCGGCTCGGAAAATTGACCAGGTTCGACCCTGGGAGGGGCGCCCCAGGACCGATCTTGAGCGAATTTGCCTTCGTCCCTCCTCTTGGTCGATCTTCTCTGGGCTCATCCAGCTCATAGCCCCTGGCCGCCTCCAAGGTCGGACCGAGCGCTGCTGCTCCGCCCTCCGCGGGGGCAGGCGTGGATCCAGGCTCCCTCGGAGGGGGGCCTGTATCGTTCGTCCAGGCCTCCCAGGTGGGCCGAGGGCTTCCAGAGGCCGAAACCTGCGCCTTGAGTTCCTCGAGACGCTGCAGGCCTGGACTAACGTCAATCCCACCTGGAAAGCCTGGGCCCACCTGGCAGGCCTGGACCCACCTGGGAGGCCTGGACGAACGCTGCAGGCTCCAAGGCTCCCAGGTGGGGTCGGCGTCAGTCCAGGCTTTCAGCGTCTCGAGAAACTCAAGGCCGAGTTCTTGTCGCACTTCTCGGCCTCTGGGGGCCCTCGCTGGGCCCCGGGGCCGTCACGAAACGATTCTGGATGAAGAGCCCGCCCTCTGGGGAAAAGGTCCAAACCTCCAGCTCAAGACGTCGGATATCAGGGGTGGATCAGGGCTCGACCTAAACGGTGTTTGGGCGATTTGTTGTGCCGTTTTCGTTTTGATTTCGTCTTGCAGGAAAGGCGGAGCGAAGACAGAACGAAGGAAAACGAAAAACGTATCGAAGCGGGAAGCCACTGTTCAGGTCGAGCCCTAGGGTGGATAGAATCGGAGGATGACATCGCACCGCCGATGCCTCGGCGATGCGGCTCGATGTGGGGCCCAACTTGATCCACGCCGACTGCGCCGATGCGGCCCGATCCTCCGACCCCATCTTCGGCGGCGAGCCTTGGGGGAAGCGAGAAGTGGTGGGCTTTCTCAGAAGGCTCGGAAGCCTCCTGGCCTGCTGAGAGGTGCTGAAGCCTCCCCCGAAGACACCGAAATGTTTGGAAGGCCGGAGGACCTCTGAGAAGCCCCGCCGCTCCCTGGGAAGGCCTTCTCCTCCCCACTTCCCCAGCGGGGGCACGCCGCCGAACCTGGCTGTTTGGGTCATACCCCAGGTCTCCGGCGGCGGGTCGATCCGTGCAGCCCTGGAACGCTGTCGGCGAGGCGCAGCCGCTGCAGCGCACCCCGAGGTGGGGAAGTCGCCGAGGAGTGGTGCAGACGCCTGAAAGCCTCGAACCTCGAGCCCGGAAACTCCCTCGCTCGCCGCCGACCATCTGCCCGGGCCCCGCTTGGGAGGCCTTCGGTGGAGCGGGCACGAGTCGTTCTCTCCGGGGCAGACGTTTCGGCTCAAGCTCCAACCAGGCAGGCGCGGCTGCCTTCCCCGCTTTGGCTGGTTGAAGAGCCCGGGGGCTCGTGCCGGAGTGCAGTCGAATTTGATCCGTAGGTCGACCCTGCCGATCTGAGGTTACCCTCGTGTCCTGTGTTTAGCGACCCATGCCTTCTACATTCCTGTGGCAGTGTGGCCCTCGGAAGGCTCTTGTGCCCTCTCGCGTGTCCTCTCCAATCAACCTCGACTGCAGTCAAAGGGGGGCCGTTTCTGCCTTCCCTGGCTGGCTGGTTGAAGAGCCTGGGGCGCGTGCCAGAGTAGGTCGGGTGCCTTTGAGTTGCACCGGAACCCAGCGAGCCCCCAGCCAGTACGGCAAAGGCGAGTTTCCCGCGGAGGCGTGCCCCAGGCCCCTTTCTCTTTGAGGCGTGTTGTGCTTGCACGACCTGTCTCATGATGCGAATCTTGTGAAACCAAGCGGGTCCCCCTCACCCAATGGCACCAGGAACAACAAGAGGCAACAGGGCTCGTGACGGAGGAGGAGTACAGACAAAACCGATGGTAAGGATGGATAACCGTACCAAGGGTACCCTTGCATCCTTGCCTCTTCGGTCACTTTCGATGGCCAGCCCCTCTCGATAAGCTTCGACATGCGCGCCCAGTGGGCTTGCATCCTTATCGCGCATCCTTGCTATCGGTTTTGACTGTAAGTCAGGGTTGGAAGAGATGACGCTGACGGAGGAGGAGTAGGGGTGAGGAGGAGGAGGAGGAGGAGGAGGAGGAGGAGGAGGAGGAGGAGCAGGAGGAGGATGAGGAGGAGGAGGAGTAGGAGGAGGAGGAGGAGGAGGAGGACGTGAGGAAGAGGATGGAGGTTGGAGTCGGCTGGGGGTATGAGGTGGCCCAGCAATGGCTCTGACCAGCAGGGAGTTGGAAAGGTGGCCTTTCTCGTCCTTCTTGGACCTTCTGGGAGCTACTCGTCACAACGTCTGGACGCGGCTCGGAAAGCTGATGCCCGTGGACCCTAGGACGGGCCCGGGGACCGATTTTGACTCTCTTTTTTGTCCCACCCCCCTTTCCCCCTCTTCATCGTTTTTTCTGGGGCTTTATCCAGCTCAGACCCCCCGCCGCCTTGAATAATGCCAGCTTGTGATGAACAAATTATTGAACCCCCCCTCCTCCGTGGGGCTGATGAGTAGACCCCGCAGTGCGCGAAACATGTTTGAATCACGCGCGCCAGGGCTCGGAAAGCTCGGGGAGCCACCGCTGCGGACACAGGTCTTACAGGAAACGGGCCCTGACAGGTTTTTCCAGCATTCGGGTCTCCGGGTCTTCGGGAGGCCCCGAGGCAGCCGAAAAACGACCGAGCTAGTCCTGGCGGGAACTCCAGGGTTCTGGGCCCGCGTCCTTCAAGGTCCGCTTCCATCAGGGCGACGGGAGCTCCGCTCGATTGCGAAACAGGGAAATCACGCGGCGGTGGCGGCGGCGACGGTCTTTGCCCCTGCCGCCCCTGCCTCCCGCCCCCCCCCCTCCCCCAGTCCGTGGACATTTCGGCTCGCGCGCCCCGCTGCAGCGGAGGCAGTGCTGCTCCTGTCGCCTTATCCCTGGCGACTGGGCGTCGGCGCTAATCGCTGGCGCCGCCGCCTTGCGTTTCCATTCGGCGGGCGCCTTTTTCCCGCGATTCGTCCGAGCAGGGGGGCGGTTCCTTTAATCGCACGCACCGCTTGTTTTTGGTTGCGGATTGACAAGCTGGAGGATTGGAGGAAAGAAGCAGGAAAACGGGAGGAAAACGATGCGGCGGAGGTGGCGGAATTGGGGGAGCAGTTGCGTTAGCTGCCAGCGGGTATTCACACCATGAAATGCACGACCCCGTAAGAACCTTCGGTGTGCACGACTAGATATTATATATGTAATACTGCTCGGAACCAACTTCCTGTCGGCAGCGGGGCATGCGAATTCTTCCAACATCCAGGGGATATAATTCAAAAGCCAGGGCAATTTGGAGGACGGGCCGACGATCAGCGTTGCCGGGAACTTGCGCGAGGCAATCAATCGTCATTGAGCTTCTTCCTTAGTTTCATTTCGCTATTGCATATTTGCTTATTTGAGCCATCCTGTGGGCCTCTTGGGCCTTCCCGATTCCGTCGTAGGCCGTCCTGGGGCGCTCTTGGGCCGTCTTGGAGCCCTCTTGGACCGTTCTTGGGGGGCGCCCTGGAATCCTCTTGGCCCATCGAGGGGCCCTCTGGCCTCAGGAAATGTTGCGCGACCGTGTCCCGAGAACGCCCATAATTCAGGGCTGCAGGTCGCTTGACGAAGATTCGCAGCACATAAACCAATACAGCGGACTCGATGGAACCTGAGGGCACTCCAAAACGTGCCAAGGCACGGCGGCGGATCTCGGAATCCATAATGTTGGGCAATTTGGGGAGAGGGTGCCGAGGGCCCCAGTGGGCCATTGTTGGTGCTTATTTTGAGGCCAGGAGGGAGGTGCGTTGGCGATCTCGTTCCCCAACCTCCCCCGACGGGGTTCCAAACCTCCACGAAGGGGCACGGGGTGAGTGTGCATCGAAGTGTCTCACATGCTTTGTCGCCCTGGGTCGGCGCATCCAACCCGGCTCGAGATTGCAGTTTTTCTCCCTCCATTCCTCATCCGCCCCCTCGCGCTCTGTGCACCCGCGCCCCCGAGATTGTGCTGGAGAGCTGGCCCCTCCCGAGATCTCAGTTGTTTCGCCCCCTGAATGGGCGACGGTGCGTTGGCCGCACAGGCCTACCCCCCAGACCGTCAGCACGCGCGAGAGCGCGAAGGGAGCTCGCGCTCTCGCGCGGCGCGCGAGAGCCCGACATTCGGTGACCGAAGGAGAATCGGCATAAGCATAAACATTCGGAGCCCCGCGCGGATATCTTGGATCGGCTCTGCAGGCGCCGCCAGACGGGGGTGGGGGCCAGCGCCGAGATCCAAGAAGTCTGCGCGGCCCTCCGACCGTCTACGTTCGTGTGGTGGTTTTCTTTTCTAGCGGTCGGGTCGGTAGCAAATCATGGGAGACTTGTGTGTCCTCGCAATTCCGTCTTTAGAGTGCATTCGCTTGCGGTATCGTCTTGTGATTGATGAGGAAGCGCCGATTTTGCATCGATGAGCGTCGGTTAGTGTCGGTTCGCAAGAGCCAGCAATATGGCAAGGCACGTTCGCATGAGTTGCCACTGACCTCCTGTTGCCACTCCTCCTCCTCCTCCTCCTCCTCCTCCTCCTCCTCCTCCTCATGGACGCCCCTGGACCCCCATGGAGGGTCGTGGCCCTGTCCCACTTCATCTCAGTCCTGATTTCTTTGGAGTCGGCGCTGTCTCATGTTTGCTTGTTTTCTACATGTTGGGAGTCCGTACGTATCCACTGCGCCCTGGCCGGGCCGTTCCTGGGCCCATGAGCCGTGCATGCGTTCTCCTAGGCAAGCCAGGAGGGCGTGGTGGCGTGGCGTACACACCGCTGCTGGGTTCAGGATGGACCCGGCCAGGGCGCAGTGGAGCTGTATAGATTTCGTCGCCTTACCCTGGAGGGTCGCGGCTCCGCCGCTGGCCCTTCGCGGGCCCTCTTGGGGGCCTGTTGGGGGGCCTCTTGGGGGGACCTCTTGGGGGACCTGCTGGGTAGCTCCGTGGCCACTTGGGAGCCAGCTTGTGCCTGCTGCGTTCGAGAGGTCGAGGCCCCTGGCTCTTCGCCCCGGCGAGGGTTCCTGGCCGCGCGAGCCGCGAGGCTCCGCCGCCCCCAGGGCGCCATGCCCGCTCCGCCCGAGCGCCACCGCGAGGCCAGGCCGGGCCCCCATCGCCGGCTGCCGCCGCGATCCTCGAGCCTCGTTGCTCCTCGATCCTCGACCCCACTCCGAATCTCGGATCCTCATCAGTCGATCTTCGATATCCCCCACATCTTCGACCCCCCTCGTCGATCCTCGATACTCCTCCTCGGCCCGGCTGATTCTTCTTTCGGCCCCGCGGAGCGGGGGCCCGCCTTGTGCGGCGCAGCCTGGCATCAGATCGGGCTTTCATGTCTTCAGCTTCCTCCTCGACCCCCGATCCTCCTGCTGGCGGCGAGGCCGCCTCGGCGCCCGCAGCGGCATCCATCGCCGCGGCGCGGGCTGCCGCCGCGCCTCCCTAGACGCTGGAAATGGGTACGAATAAAAAACTGGGCACGAGGGCCCAACAACGACCCTGTCCAAAACCGACAGCGGCCGCTGTTGGTCAGGCGACTTCCCGTCTCAAGTGGACAACGTCCGCGGCGACACCAAACAGCGAGTCCTGCTCAGAGTGGACAAAGGACCGCTGCCCTCGTTGTCACCTCGCCTTCCCAGGCACGGGCAGCGTGCAGCCGGCAGTGCGTCGGCGCCGCCCCGAGACGACGGGCAGCCAGTCCACTGGGATGCTTCTCGGCAGTGCGCACGGAGGCGGCAGGACGGCGCCGCTTCCTCGCATTGGTCAGCGTCCCGGCCTGCGGAGTGCTGATTGGAGCCCTCGTCGTCTCGGGGCGGCGCCGACGCACGGCGGCTGCACGCTACCCTGGACTGCAAGGTGACCGCGAGGTCCATTGCTCGGTGGCCAGCCTGGGGGGGGAGTGACGGGGGGCGGGCCTTCTCAGAAGGCTCGGAAGTCCTCAGGCCCTCTGAGAAATTTTCTAAGCCTTCCCCGAAGGCACAGAAAACTTCTCAGAAGGCCGGAGGGCTTCCGAGAAGCCCCGCCGCCTTCTGAGCAGGCCTCCTCCTTTTCACTTCCCCTCCTCGCTCGCCGCCGAACTGCACGACACCAGTGCCCCCCCCCACACCTGAAGCTGGAGCCGTCTGGGCGTCTGAGGTGGCCTAGCACTGGTTCTGGTCAGCAGGACGGGTGGGGCAGGTTCAAGGTTCTGGGCTCGGGAAGGGTGGCTCGGTAGCAAATCATGTGATCCTGGTATTTCTAGCAATTCCGTCTTCTTTAGAGTGCATTCGCGTCGATTGGCGTCTCGTAACCGATGAGACAGTGCCGACTTCGTGTCGGTTGGCGTCAGCTAGCGTTGACTTAGCGTCGATTAGCGTCGGTCAGCGTCGAATCGCACGAGCCAGCAAGATGGAACGGGAGGCTCCAATGAGTCGCCGCAGAACGCGCAAGAGTGACCCTTCGCCGGAGTGACCTTTGGTGCGGGCCCATTGGGGCCTCCTGATCGCCAAATGCGATGCGATAGTAGCAGCTTGCGCGCTTGTGTTTGGTCCCCCCGCGGCCCCAACAAAAACCGCTCACCAAAGGTCACTCATATCCAGTGACACTAGTTGCGTGAAGCCGATCGAAGACGGCCCCAAGAAGCCCTGGAGTCGAAGATAAACACAAACCTTAAGCGGTCCGCGCGGATTTCTTGGATCTGCGCTGGAACCTGGCGGCGCTTCTAGCGCCACCCTCAGCGCGCTCCGCGCGCCAGGGAAGGGGGGTTCAGCGCAGATGTAAGAAATCCGCGCGGAGTTCCGAAAGTTTATGTTTATGCTGTTTCAAGGCTCAAGGCTCTCACACGCTCGTCCGCTGCGATTCTACCAGAGAGGGCCTCTTGTATCCCAGCTGTAGCGTTTATCGCTCTGCTGGAAGTGGGCCCCATGCGCTTGCACCTCCCGTTGCTTTTCAGAGTTGGGGTTGCTCGCCTCAACGGTCCCAGCCATGAGAGTGCGATGGAGTTGTTTGCCATGCAGCAAAAAACGCTCTGCACAACGCTTGGAGGGTTTCATGTGGAAATGTCAGATCATTCAAATGGGCGAGCTCTGCCACGCAGGCACTCTGTCGCTTCAAATATATGGACCGTCAACAACACTTAAGAGAACATATTCAAGATGCCCAGGAACGCCGCACCCGAATTATGGCTACGGGAATTCTGGATACTTAACCAGATATGGGCGTTATGCGCGGAAGGTGCAATTCGCAACTTTGTAAGTAAGTCGTGCCTCGATCGAGAGAGCCCCATGGACTCCAAGCAGGCCCCAATGCTCTTGTTTGTTTTATCGTTGGCCGGGCGTGATCTTACAAGGCCGGCAATTTCAAACTCACGAGTTAATGTGTTGCGCATATGTTCTCCCCGCGGTCCGCTTGCCTCTACAAGCCCCGTGCGCTGGCTGGGTTTGCCGAGGTTCGCGCGGTGGCCCAAAATATGGTTCGTCCGCGAAGGATGTGAGACAAAAAACATGGCCCGCAATCCCCCTCCCTCCAAGCAGAACAGGAAAGGCTGTGATTAGGCTCGCGGACGGGCCAACAAAAAGTTGCCCGCAAATCCCCTCACCCGAAACGGGTTTGATTGGGCTCGCAGAAACTGCGGGCCAAAACAAAATGGCACCCAAATCTCCTCGGCTCGCGCCAATTGCGTGCCAACAAATGGCCAGCAAATCCTTTCCCTCCAAGGAGGCAGGGAGAAGGCTGTGATTGGGCTCGCGGAAACTGCGGGTCAAAACAAAATGGCCCCGCAAATCTTCTCACCGAAGCTGCGGGCCAAAAAATTGTCCGCAAATCTCCTCACCCGAAACGCTTGTATTGGGCTTCCAGAAACTGCGGACCAAAGACAAATTGTCCGCAATCTCCTCGGCTCGCCGAAACTGTGGGCCCCCCAAAATGGCCCGCAAATCTCCTCACCCGATTCGGCTTGGATTGGGCTCCGAAAAACTGCGGGCCAAAACGAGCACATCTCCTCGGCTCGCGCAGACTGCAGGCGCAATGAACAAGAACTGCTGCTGCTGATGATGATGATGATGATGATGATGGTGAAACTGATGCGGATGATGACGATGCTGATGCTGATGCTGCTGCTGCTGCTGATGATGATGATGATGATGATGATGCTGATGTTGATGCTGATGATGATGATGGTGATGATGATGATGATGATGATGATGATGATGCTGATGCTGATGCTGATGCTGATGCTGCTGCTGCTGCTGATGATGATGATGATGATGATTATGATGATGATGATGATGATGATGATGATGATGATGATGATGATGATGATGATGATGATGAGCGGGAGGAGGAATATGAGAAAGAAATGGAGGAGGATGGGATGGTGATGATGATGACGAGGAGGAGGAGGAGGAGGAGGAGCTCTCATAGACTTCGTTTGCGCCGCATGTGGGGCTGCCTTGGGCTCCAGTGGGGCAGTCTTCGGGGTCCACTGGAGCACTCGTGGGGCCCTCTGGGACCGTCTTGGGGTGTTCTTGGCCGCCTTGGGGTCTTCTTTGCCGTCGTGAGAGGGGCCTTCTTGGGCCGTTCTGATGCCGTGGTGGGGGCTCCTTAGTTTTATTCTTGGGGTGCATCTTCACTCGTCGTCGTCGTGATTCGTTGGGGTCATCAACGCAGAGATGATGAGGAGGAAGATTATGAGGAGGCGCGTGGGAGGAGGAGGAGGAGGAGGAAGATCGATGAGGAGAGAGGGGGAACGATGAAGGAGATGCTGCTGATGATGATGCTGCTGATGGTGATGATGATGTTGGTGATGGTGATGGTGATGATGATGATACTGATGATGCTGGGGTGGTGATGGTGGTGATGCTTATGATGATGATGGTGATGATGGTGACGATGGCAATGCTAACGATGATGCACGACGATGCTGATGCTGATGCTGATGGCAAGGATGATGCTGCTGATGATGTTGATGATTGTTATGATGGTTGTGGTGCTGAGGATGATGCTGGTTGTGGTTTTGACCATGGCGATACTGATGATGGCGATGCTGGTGGAGATGCTGAGGATGGTAATGCCGACTATGACGATTATGAGATTCGTGATGTTGCTTATTATGATGATGTTGAGGATGTTGGTTATGCTGATGATGTTGACACTGATTGTGATGCTGTTAGTGGTGATGCTGCTGGTGATGTTGATGATGCTGATGGTGAGACCTATGATGATGATGATGATGATGCTGATGCTGATGATGCTGCTACTGATGATGCTGATGATGCTGATGATGCTGATGATGACGACGACGATGATGATGATGATGGTGATGATGATGATGAGGATGATGATGATGATGATGATGATGATGCGGGTGGTGGTGGTGATGGTGATGGTGATGCTGATGATTATACTGATGATGAGGATGTTGATAATGATGATGCTGATGGTGATGATGCTGACGATGGTGTTGGTGATGGTGCTGCGATTGGTATTGATGCTGATGATGGTGATGCTGATGTTGATGATGGTGGTGATGATGATGATTGTGCTGGTGATGATGCTAATGACGGTGATTGAGATGGCGATGGTGATGCGGTTATTGGTGATGGCCACGGCGATGATCATGGTGTCGAGGATGCTGTTGTTTGTTTGCGTGACTGACCCGCATCTCGGTTTCCCAGTGGGCGCCGTAGGGTTCGAAATGGGCCCCCAGGGGCCAGCAACGAAACGGGCATCCAGGGGCCAGAGGACGTCATCGTCGCCACCTTTCGTCGTCGTTACCGTCGTCAGCTTTCAGGCGTCGTCAACCTCGTATTCGTTCTCGTCGCCGTCTTCTTCGGTCGTCGGTCGTCGATCGCTGCCGCCGACGTGCCTTCTCGCGCGCGCAGCCGCCCAGGGAGATGAGGACGAGGAGGGGGCGGAGGATAAGAATGAAGAGGATGGATGCTGATAAAAATGAAGAGGATGGATGCTGATGAGGATAAGAATGAAGAGAATGGAGGAGAGGGCGGAGGATAAGAACGAGGAGGAGGAGGAGGAGGAGGATGGATGCTGATGAGGATAGTGTTGGCACTGACGACGATGATGATGGTGATGCTGATGATGATGCTGATGCTGATGCTGATGA